CTATGGCAGTCCCATGGAGTGGAAGTGGAATTGGTACACCAGCAACATGCCCGCACGGGAATGTACCTTCCAACTCCCCTGGTACATGTCCCTTTCGCGGGGTGCAACGCGTCAGATCACCACGAGTTGAATTGATCATCAGCTCTCAGCGACCCACCTCCTGACTTTCGGCGCCCTTGGCCGCGTCGCCCCAGGTCACGACCGAGCCATCCTTTCTCAGGGCGGCGAAGGCGCTGTTGGAGGCCACCACTGTGCGCACTTCAGTCAGCTGGCGCTCCACCTCGAGGTCAGGTGTGGAGAGGTCGAGGTTGGGAGGGAAAGGGAAGAAAAAAACGTATGAACATCACAAAAAGGTGTTGAAGGATGCACGAGCTGTTGTGGAAATGGACGTTGCTGCATGTATGCCGCATGTATGCCTTCAAATGTGTTGCATTCACCAAAGTCACCATACCTTTGAGCCTCTTACAGCCAGAAACCACCGCCGCCCTCGGCTACGAAACGGCCGCCTTACGGCAGTCGCCCCCGCTGTACGGCATGCCCCAGGCCACCACAGTGCCATCAGCCTTTAGCGCTGCGAAGGAGCTGTCAGACGAAAAGACCTCCTGCACGTTGCTCAGCTGCTTCACATCCTGAGCCGCGTGCGTCGCAACGTGGGACGGGTTTGGAACAGGTGGAGGCCAGCTGGTGGAGGCCTCCTGTTGACCATTGGTTCACCCCTTCAGGAGCCGAAGCCGGCTGGGGTCAGGCTGGGGAAATCTGAGTGCAACGACTTCAAGTAGGACCCAAAACAAAGAACTTGAGAGACTCTTGCATACCTTCATACCTTCATACCAAAGGCATCTTCCATATCTTCATGGAGAAAATATAAGAAACTCTTGGTTGGAGTGGGGGGAACCAGTGCCAAAGCCCTTCCTTCAGCACCTCCTCCAATAAATTGAGGCCAGTGAGCCATCAAATGAAACATCCTCTTCCCAACCAACTCATCATTATACACTCTGACTCATTAACATGGAAGTGGATGGCATGGTCCCTTGGAAGACTACTTTCCTTTACGAGCCGGGGGGGGCCATCCACGTAACCATGTTTTCTGTGTTCGTCAGCGTGTACTCCTTCCTCCCAGCGCGTGAAACACCGGCCTTCCCCCGGAGCGGCCCTCGGTGGCCCGAGCGTCAGAGATGGAGCCTCCCACCATCGGGTGTCCCCACGTGACCACCGTCTGGTCGCTGCGCACCAGCGCGAAGGCCATGGCCCGTCGCGCGGAGAAGAGCCGCGGCGGCTGCACCAGCGCGGTGACGGTGTCGCCGTCCTGCGTCGAAACGCTTCGGCCATTGGCCGCCGCTTTTTGGAAACGATCCAGGTGCAAGTCATCCCCCTAAAACTCTAGGAGCATAGAATTTCATATAGTCTTTGGGTGACCCGAAACCGGAATTTCCTGTACTTCGGTGTTGCCCAAAAATTGGTCGAGCTGGGCCTCTAGCATCGAAAGAAAATAAAGAAAGGGAGGGATCAACCAAGTTTCAGGGAGTGGAGCATACAAGTAGGCTCCTGGAAGACCATGTTCCTCTAACAGTAACAGGGGGTTTGGGTCAGCTTCCAATGATTGTTGGAGGGAGGGCACATTGGTCGGAAAACATGCAGCAACCACTGCGAATAACCACAAACTCATTCAGCAAGGGCCCCACATGCGCGGCACGACCTGTGTGTTCGAACATCTCACGTGCGGTGTTCGAAGCTGCCAATTTCCCCAATTGGATGAGATCAAAGCCGAGAACAAGGGCCAACTTGCATCAGTTGTGATCGCAGTCCTCTCTCGGAATTCACCGCCTTGCAATTCCATGCGCGTCCTTTGGAAGATACTTTTGTCCTCCATCCACAGGGCGCGTGACGCGGCGCGTGCCTTGGCACCCCGCCTGCCCCACGCCGGGCCAACCTCTGCGGCCCTCCGTCCGTCGTCCGGGAAATCGAGACCATCGGGTCCAAAGGATGCCCCATGATCCCCATGGCCAGGCGCTCGCTCGACGGGTGGACGGGTGGACACACCCAGGCCCACATGATGCCTCCAAGATAGCTATAGCGATCTTCCAACTGTGCAGAATTTCTGCCTTTTCATGCATCAAACCCAGCCAAAAGGTAGAAATTCTGCACATATCGATATCTGCGAAGACGGTGATTGGAGATGCTTTGGTGCCCGCGGAAACGACCGCACACCGTGGGCGCGGTGTAAAAAGGCTGCGTCGTCCCCCTCCACCTCTCTCCACCTCTCTCCGTCCGGCACCGGGTCCTTCAAACCACTCTCGGCCAAAGTTCCCTGCAGGATCTCTCCCGCCGCACTCACCAGGCTTTGCACGGCGACACCGAAGCACTCCTGCGCTGCCAGCTTCAGCTCGGACACCTCAGCTGCGAGCTTTCGACGCCGGGTGGTGGTGCTGCGCCAGCACCACCAGGCTGGAGTTGCATGGCTCGGGTGAGGTAGGTAGGACCAGGTAGGGACAGGAACATCATGAGGGGTTGAGGATGGTTAGAGGGGTTGCTCAAAGATGGATGCCAAAGGAAACCTGATTGTACCGCATCGAGATGTCCACAACAAACAAATGGTCCCCGGTTTGGTCGAACGCCACGAACCGTCCATTGATGTCCAACAAAATAGACGAATCACCTTTCTATCCATGTCGCACAATACTGATAGGATATGTCTTCCGCTTGTTGACCTTTCCCCCTGTTCCCTCCCTTGTCCATCCCTTTTCATTCCTCTTTCCATCATGCTGGTTCAATCTGATGTCTGTCTCCTCCGCCTCGGCCTCCCGCCGTCCCTTCGACACCAAGTTGCTGGTGCCTCGGCCTCAGTCGGCACCAGAACCGAGCGCCCACTGGCGAGGCACACGTAGATCTGCATCGGCACTGTAGCAACGGGGTGGCTGAGGCCGGAAGACTCTTGACGCAGCTGATTGGCCGATGGAGCTGGGAGGCAGAAAGGCCAGTCGCTCCGGTTTAGGGTCACCGAGTACCTGCTTCAAGTACCGAAGAAGCCGAGGGTGTTGGGTAATGTAGACTCCTGATTCATCAACCCCCCACTGCAAATCACCTTTGCTTGGACCAAACTGTGGCAACGTGGTTTTACTTTGTACAAGACTGCTCCCCTCTCCCTCCATGGTCTCAAACAACATGTCGAACAGGATTTCTCTGATGCGACCATCCTTGATAGCCATGGCCTATCGATCGACGATTGTTGGCAAAAAGCAAACTCAATAGCTGTTGATTCTCTCTTGGCCAGAGGAGCCTCCTGGGGCTCTGGACCTCGTAGCCGAGGTGATGTGGTTCAAACACGCTCCAAAGTCATTTGCCCAGGGCAGCATCCAAATGGATGCGCTGTCACAAAACGCTCCTCTTGGTTGCATCACGCCCTTGGAGGACTTCGTGAGATTTTGTTTTTCATTCGTCCCCAATTGCACCTGGTCCGAGAAGTCAGATCCAGTATCGTACCATTGTCAAGGTTTGGAATCGTTTGTTTTGGCTACAAGCTCCATGCCTTTGGCCTTATGAAGCACGTCCCAACTTGGTCCAAACGCTTCAAGCACTGCAATGGGTTCAGGATGCCATTGCGACAGATGAAATCAAAAGCAAGCTTCGACGCATTCAGAGGTGGAAGTTTCGGATTCAGCAGAGCGCCCACAGTGGCTCTGCCTTCGTTTTCCAGCATCTCAAGAACCGAGCTGCTGATGAGCCTCCAAACCTTGTTACGGATTCCCAAGGCAACATCATAACCGATCCGCAAGAGGCCATTGCTGAAATTAATACTCAATGGGACACTGTTTTCTCCGCTAATCAGGGTTTTCCTCCTCCGATTAAGATGCTGGAGATTGTTTGGCCCCACATTCACCAATATGGCCAACAATATGATGTTCCAGAGCTGCATGCAACTGATTTGCAAAAAGTCATCCTTGCACGCCGGAAAGATGCGGCACCTGGTTTAGACGGATGGCGCACTTGTGAAGTACAGGCCTTGTCACTCCCAGTCTTGTCTAATTTTGCTTACATTTTCCGGCGCATTGAACAAAGTGATGACCCCCTTCCGCAAGCCTTAGCTACTGCCAAGCAGATTATCCTCAACAAAAATGGGAGCTCTGAACCGCTCCAGAAACGGTTGATCACGTTGCTGCCTGTGGTTATGCTTGCTTATACAGGGGCTAGATTCCACCATCTCCGGGAGTGGCAAATGACTGTTATGCCACCGCAATTGCAGGGTGGAATCCCCAATAGAAGTATGCCTGCCATCCATACCTCATTCGCACTTCAGATTGACCAAGCCAAAGAACATAAGCAATCGATTCTTGGTGTCAAAATTGACAAGGCCAAATGTTTGACCGAATCATCCCTGCTTATGCAGCAGCCCTTATGCTCGCCTTCGGGGTTCCTAAATGTGTGGTTGTCATTTTCTCCAAGCTGTATCAGCAATTATCCAAACACCTGGCCTTTAAGTCTTGGTTTGCGCCGCAAGCCACGCATGGGCCTAACGGGGTTGCCCAAGGGTGTTCGTTGTCTCTCATTGCTATCAACGTACACATGAAAGTGTGGGTTCATCTCCTCTCTGTGCTTCCCGAAGTCACAGCTCAAGCCTTCATAGATGATGCCTACCTGTGGGCCCATCTTTCGCGTGCAGATGACCTTCGGCAAGCAATTGCTATCACAGAGCAGTGGGACGCCTTAGTTGGTCAAGCCATGAACTGGGCGAAATGCACCGTCTGGGGCACCACTACAGAGGCACGTAGAAAGGCTAAAGCCTTGTTTCCCACCATGCATTTTGCGCTTGAACTCGAAGTTCTCGGCGTGAACATTCGCACCAGCAATCGTCAAGCAATGCATTTTTCGGACACCAAATGTGCAAAAATTCTGGCAGACATCCATAACATTGCAGCCCTGCCTTTGCCTGTGCAGATTAAAGCCAAACTCATAGGCTCTAAGGTAATACCTCAATGTACCTACTGCCCTACCCTTAACCGCATTCCTGCCAAGCAAATCAGTCGCATTCAGGGTGCTATTGCGAATGTGTTTTGGGGTAAACGCCCACACTGGCGATCTAGATTCTTGGTTTTTGCGCTGCTCACCAAGCCGCATCGGGTCGAGCCTGTCTGTGCTAGGAATTACCATGTCATTCTTGACTGTCTCAGGTTCCTGCAGCATTACCCAGATCAGAGGAGCATCTTTTGCGATCTTCTACAGAAAGCACGGCCTGATTCCCCCTCCTTTGCGCAGTGTGTCAAACAAGCCTTTCGCTTCCATAGCCTTGAACTCGATGGCAATGCCAACATCCTCTATCGAGGGAAACATGTGTGTCACTTGTTCCAGCTTACCCCAAAAGATGCTAAACCGATTCTGCAGTTGCTGTGTAGACAAGCTTGCTATGCTCAAGCCTCCCTCCAGTCACGGAAGGAGTTTCGTGCGCCTGCAGGTGTCATTGACCCATTCTTGTCCACCATTTTTCTACGTAGGTCTCAACTGCAGGTCCCTGGGGAAGTCCCTGCACATGCCTTTTTCACTGCGCAGCTCGTTGGGTGTGTTCTTACCAATGATCGTCTTGCCGCCGCTAACCTGATCGAGTCACCGCTTTGTCGCTTTTGTAAGCAAGAGAAGGAGTCTGTCCCTCACTTGCTTCGGGATTGTCCATGGGTGCAGCTCTGTTGCCCGCCCCCCAATTGCCCATGAATTAGGTCGTAACTTTGAGTTCCTTGGTATCGTTGAGCATCCATGGGCCTTGCTTGATCGGAGACTCATCATTTCCAATCCTTGGGCTCTTGAGTCACAACCTTCTCAACCTAATGCAAATCCTTGCACCTTTTGGACAGATGGGTCTCTCATCTGGGCTGAAGACCCTATTTTGACATGTGCCGGTTTCGCTGTCATCGATCAGAGCAATAACATTCGTGCTCATGGACCCGTCCATCATTGGCTCCTGACTAGCTACAGTGCTGAATTTTGGGCCTTGCTTGTTGCTTTTTGCATTGCATCGGGGCCAGTTGAAATTCGGTCTGATTGCCAAACATTGGTTAACCATGTATGCACTATGACTCATACACGAGAGATTAGTCCCACATGGCCTCATCATGACTGGTGGAGATGGCTGCACCAGGCATGGCTCGGTAGATGTGAAATACTGCCCCACCCTCTTTGCGCAGTGTGGATACCAGCACATAAGCTTGAACATGTTCCTGAACACCTCATTGACGATGACATGGCCAGTGCTAATGACACCACAGTCACTGACATTCGTCACAATAGGAAAGCCGATCATGCAGCCAAGCAAGCAGCCTTAAAGTCCTGTCCCATGTATCCCCAGATGTTTGAAACTGTGTGCAACGTTGTCCTACAGCGCCAAGAATGGCTCACTACCATGTGCCACTTGATTGGTAATGAAGTTCCCCCTAAGCCAGCTGAACCCGACAGTGACCAAGATGAAAGTACTCTCACACCGCAAGAGCAGTTTCCCAGACTTGCGTGGAAGGCAGATCCCAATCTCTACACATGGATGCTCACCTTTGAATGGCCACCATACCCGACATCTTTGCACATCCTTCATGCACAAGATTGGAGTGAAATTGGGATTTTTTTTCGGCAATTGCGATGGAACCTTGCAGAAAATCGCATCATTTCGCATGCCGAACTTGCTCTCCTGTTTTACTACCAAGGGTTTCAATGTGTTGAGCTTGCGCAAAATGAGCACTTTACATTCCAGGACTTAATTGTTTGGTTTAAAAAGTGCCTCAAGATTTGTCGGAAAAATGTGCCATTTGCGATCTTTCCTGGTGAAAATGATTCACGCCTTCATCACGCATGGGGGGAAATCCATGCCACCCGGTGCCATCGTCCATGCGGCACCCTACCTTGCCGATGACTTTCTGGAGTTTCTTGCTGTGATTTCTCGACGCATTGTGAAAGCAAGCCTGGACACTTGGGCCTTCCCTGTCTCATCTTTTCCACGCTAGGTGTTTTCTGGGGTTGATCCTGAATGGATCCTGTTGTTTAGTTTCTGCTAGCAGGTGGTAGCCTGCAGCAAAGTCTCACATCAGACCGTGTGAGCGCGAGAGGTAGAAGAGGATGTTCCATTCAATTAGGGGTGGGTCAATTTATGGTGGATTGAGAGTAGATAGCACAAGCTACTCCAAAAGTCGATGGTTTATATAAATTTATATATATATATGGATCTGTCTAAGACATGTAGGGGTGCCAACGCCATCTACTCTGAAACCACTGTATTAGGTTGGCAGTCCTGCATAGGTAAAGGATGGCAATAGTTCAATGGCAAAAAAATGCTTGGGAGGCCACCTCTTCATCTGCCCTCTCACCAAAAAAAAAGGCCCGTTGTGCCACGAACCGCTTCATGAACCGCTTTTCTGCATGAGCCAAGATCTGCGGAAAGCGCCAGCACCACGTCCAAACAACAGAGATGCGTGGAAGTCTATAGCTCGATTCCCTCCCTAACTGGTTGATACTGCTGCGCCACTCCAAGCGGCCGTCCCTTAGGGCCACCATGGGGGTGGGACCCGGATGGACCCGGGTCGCGGCGTCGAAATGCATTGGGTCACCCAGCAGGTTCCACCCAGCAAAAGGCACGAAAGAATCGATCCAGGTCCCTGGAGGTGGGTTCTGGATGTTCTGGGCGCGGGGAGTCCGGCTTTGGACCTCCAAAGAGCCAAAAGGTCACCGGCCTCCCAACGATCCGGAAGAACCCTTGCCAGCTTGTTCGTGCAGCTTGATCCCCGTGTGAGGTCAAGTGACCCTTCACCCTGCACACAAAATGAGCAATCCTTTTAAGATCCCCAAATTGATAGAAACGGTGTCCGATACATGTTTAGTGGCGACCTACGGTTCTACTTTGGGGTCAACAAAAATCCAAGTACAGTAAGCATTGATATTGATCGGGCTGGTCGCCTCACTGAGAGCCAATCAGGTCCTCAGTGCCACTCGGCTGGGCAGTCCAGTTCACCACCCGTCCATCTGCCTTCTGCTTCTGTAACCTCTGCTTATATGCAGGGTTCCGGCCTCAG